GATTGGTGAGGTGCCACAAGGGTTCTGAGAAGCCTGTGGTTATCATATGTCATTGTCTGTAGCCATGTGGTACGCAGTGTTGCCCTAGAATGCGCCTTGAGACATTACTGCAGGGTGTGCAAAATGGCAGCCCAGAGGAGCAAGCAAGCAATGATCTGAAGTTGACAGGTCCCTACTCTGAACTTAATGTCAGGAATTGTTGACATCTAGTTTACTCGCAGCAGGTAGCAGAGTAGGATTCTGCATATTCATAGGGTGAGATTCACTATTAATGAGGTCAAGAAGAAGTACTAATCCCTGTTGATTAGCATCTCACTGTTTCCTGGTGAGAATCTCATCTCAACACCAGAACTCTCTCTGAAAATGCAACATTAATTCCAATCAATGTTATCTCAGCATTCGGGTCACAAGCATTCTTCTACATTTTCTTGGAGTAAAATTATAAATGAATTTATAAAGAATACATTTATAATTTCTCCACTGTCACAAATAAAAACACAGCATCAAGGTATAGTTAGAAACGATGTCTGATTTGACAAATTGCTTGATTACCTTAGTAGAGGTATTAATAAAGTTACACTTGTGTTAAAACAGCAGACGGTTGGACATCTTAGCAATATTTCTCCTGTTATTGAGAAAGGCCTCACTTGACTTCTCACTTTATCCTCCATTTCTCACCATAGCCCATGGCATTCAGGCTCTATAAGGTTTCAACCCTAATTGCAGAAATAGAAGAACTTTCTGAGAAGATAGCAGGGCAAATTTCAAAAGTCTTGCAGTATTCATTGATTTAATTATTTATGGTGCTATTGATTTAAGCTAACATCATGGATTGACCCCCTACTCTTTGCTAACCATTTGTCTTGAATAGTCCGGGAGGTCTGTGATTTCAGATTCAGTCCTGCATTATTTAGGGGCTGCAGTCATGGGCCTTCCCTGAGTGTGCTGCATCTGTGTCTCAGCCTTACCCAAGAATGACAACTTTCTGATTCTCTGAAATTCCAACAAGCTCTTTTATTTATGCAGTATTATGTTGAATGCTGATTTCCAAAATACAAGTCTCTAATATTATTGTTCCATCCCTTCTTCTCAGAGTCTTGATAGCATTTGACTTCTGATGTCAGTGTTAGATCATTTTATATGTCATTATATTTCGTGTGTACATTCTTATTATTTTGCAACATGTGTCCCTGTCCCAAATACTATCAACTGATGGACGTAGCACGCCTTTCAACATCCACTTTGTTGCCTATGACTCGGAACAACCTTCAAATCAAACACAGAAAGTCACAAGTCAGAACATCTTCTGCTGTTTGTAACAGACCCATCCTTCATCATAGGGTGGGAGTAACCTCTGCTAATATTATCTTATTTCACCATTTGGGTCACAAGCATTCTCCTACATTTTCCTGGAGTAAAATCATGAATGAATTTAGAAAGAACATGTTGACAATGTCTTACTGTCACAAATAAAAACACAGCATCAAGGTGTAGTTAGAAATGATGTTTGGTTTAACAAGTTCCTTGATTATTTTAGCAGAGACATTAATAATGTTACTACTTGTGTTAAAACAGCAGACAGGTAAACATTACATCAATATGTTTAGCATTGCTTTGTTATTGACACAGATATAACATTAGTGTGTAAATTAATCACTCTTTCATGATCAGTTTTCTAGTCAATTCAATATGTTCTCTGACATTGAAATTATTCAAAATGGTTTGAGGCAAGATTAGGCTACAATGATAATATTATGTGAAAAGCAATAAACTTGTATGTTATTTTTTTCTTTTCAAACAGACAAAACAGAACAGTAAATTTATGCACAGCAAGATACCATAAACTGTTGTGATAATAACCAAAAAAACTTCTGGGATGGCATCACCCACAACCTCCAATCAGAAATTTCTCAGTGGTCTGGATCGAGTAGGATTTATATGCATTTGGAGAGGCAAGGAATGATTAGGGATAGTCAGCATGGTTTTGTACAAAGGAAATTGTGTCTCACAAACTTGATTAGGCTTTTTTTGAGGAAGTAGCCAAGGTGATTGTTAAGGGCAGAGTGGTACACATTGCTTACTTGAACTTTAGTAAAGCCTTTGACAAGGTTCCACATGGTAAACAAATTAGTAAAGTTAGATCACATGGGATTCAGGGTGAGCTTGTCAGTCGGATACAAAATTGGCTTAACAGCAGAGAGGGCTGATGGAGGATTGTCCTTCGGACTGTGACTAGCCTGTTCCACAGGGATCGGTGCTGGGTCCACTTTTGTTTGTCATTTATATAAATGATTTAGATGAGAATATAGAAGACATGGTTAGTAAGTTAGCGGGTGACTCCAAAATTGTTGTGATAGTGGACAGTTAAAAAAGGTTACTTAAGATTACAAAGAGGTTTTGATCAATTGTGTCGATGGGCTGAAGAGTGGCAGATGCAGTTTAATTTGGATAAATGCAACCTAATGCATTTTTTGTAAAACATACAAGGCCAGGACTTATACAAAAAAATGAAGGCCTTGGGTAGTGTTCTAGAACAGAAAGACCTAAGGGTTCGGGTACATAATTCTTTGAAATTTGTGTCACAGGTGGACAGGGTGGTTAAGAAGCTGTTTAGCATGCTTGCCTTCAATGCTCAGACCTTTGAGTGTAGGAGCGGGACATTATGTTGAAGTTGTACAAGACGCTGGTGAGGCCTCTTCTGGAGTATTCTGCCGAGTTCTGGTCGCCCTGTTATAAGGAGAAGATTATTAACCTGGACAGGGTTCAGAAGAGATTTACAATATGTTGCTGGGAATGGAAGGTTTGAGTTATAAGGAGAGGTGAATAGGCAGGGACTTTTTTCACTTGAGCATAGAAGGTTGAGCAGTGACCTTATAGAGGTTTATAAAATCGTGAGGGGTAATGGCAGGAGTCTTTTCCCTAGTGTGAGGGACTTCGAGACCAGAGGGCATATTTTTAAGGTGAGAGGCAAAAGATTTAAAAAAGACATGAGGGGAAATTTTTTTTACACAGAGAGTGGTTCATGTGTGGAATGAACTTCCAGAGGAAGTGGTGGATGCAGGTACAGTTACAATGTCTTAAAAAACATTTAGAAAAGTATATGAATAATAAATATTTGGCGGGATATGGGTCAAACTAGGTGAAACTAGTTTATTTTGGGATTATGGTTGGCACGGACTGGCTGGACCAAAAGGTCTATTTCTGCGCTGTATGACTCTGAGTGAATGTTAAAATACTACCCTGTATTGAATCTCTTGGTCTGTGCCCGTCTCTCACCCTTCATAAACTTAAGCTCATCCAAAGCTCTGCTGCACATTTCCTAACCCATACCAAGTCCCTGTTCATCCATCACCTTGGAGCTGTTGATTTTGACTCCCACTCAGCAATATCTGAATTTAAAAGTTTCCATCCTTGTCTTCAAATGCTTCCATGTCCTTATTCCTCTTTCTCTCTGTAAATACCTTCAGTCCTATAGCTGTCTAAGATCTCTGCACTTATCCAATTCTGAAATCTTGTGCATCCTCAATTTTAATCTTTTCACTGGCATTCAGTGGATATTTTATTTATTTGATTTATTTACTGTCACGTGTATCTTGTTATAAAATAGTGAAAAGTGTTGTATAGTGTCGCCACACTCCAGCGCCATCTTTAAACACAGAAAAATAAACCAATACGTGGCATATGAAGTCAGAAAAATGAAGAAATGAAGCGTCCAACTTTACAGTCCTTCTTGTTGAGTGCTTTGTCATGGGCCAAGGGCCATAGTAGCCAAGCACATGTCCCCTTTGTTGTGCCACCTCCATTGGTATAAATGTCACCACTCCTTGGTGCTATCAAGAAGTCTCCCCTTTCAGTTAACAACAACTCTGCCAAGATTCCAAGTTTCAGGAATATCGCAGCCAGGAGTCCATGCTCTGGGCACCACCTCCACTGCAGCCCACAACCTGCCGAGTTCCCGCTCCAGGAACAGTCACTGCCGCAGCCAAAGACCCACCGAGTCTCTGAGTCCATGCTCCAGGCCTACCACAGCAAGGAGTCCTCACTCCAGGCACCATCACTGCTGTAGCCAGTGCCCCAGTAACACCACTCCAGCTTCCCCACAACGTCAGAAGATGAAGTAAAGAAAAAAGAGAAAGAAGAAGATAAAAAGGAGAGAGAGAGAGACAAGGATGCAGCCAGACTGGAGCATGCATTGACCATGTTTCCATTGAAAAGATTTGAAAATAGTGAATTGATTTTCTTTATTAAAAACCAAAACTGTGCTTTCAAACTTAAATAAAAAGGGTCCTAGTTGGAAAGGTGCTTTCCCCAAAGACTGAACAGGAAGAAATCTGTTACATTGCTTGGTGATCAACACAAACCTGTAGGATTTTAGAGCTACCTTTCATGTAGCCATGTAGCTAGAATTTATTGTTATTGTTTTTAAGTGAAATGGCCTGTTGAAGCATGGTGTTAGCTTATTACATACATGGAGGCATATTGCAATGATTGAAATAATTGAATAAAGCAAGCTTCATCTCTCCGAATCGCCACTTGGTCTCCCTTCAAATAGACTGAATGCAAACAACACAGATATCCAATTTAGATTGATTCCTGTTACATCTGTTACACTATTGCTGGAGTTTTGCTTATCTACTGTACTGACAACCCTCCAATAGTGTTTCACAGCAATAATCTGCTGATTGTCATTGATGTGTGACAGAATAGTTTACTTTAAAAAAATATCAAGGGAGGGCATATTTCATTTCTCAATTCCTAAACCGAAGTTGTTAGAAGGGTGTTGTAGATATGCGTTGTTCTGTCAAGTCAGGTTTCATTCGCTTTGAATGGGACTGTCCTGTGCAATCTCTGTGGATGTGTTCAGTGGACCAGCTACTTACGTGTTATGCTGATGACTCAATACAGATTAAGCAACAATTTTGCCAAATGGTGGGAAATGTTTGAACAGCTTGTAAGTTCCTATCCCCTCCCTCCCTGACAAGCCGCCCGTCAATCGCAATCTATTTCATGCTTCGTTTATGATCACTTCCAGCTTTACGCCTTCTTGACCCTTGTGTTCTCATCATCCGGATGAAGAAACTCGGTCTGAACTGGAAGAGGAAAGTATACGTCCTGTTGCTGCCTGGAGCCTCGCTTCGCTGACACGGCTTTACATTCGGCGAGTTTGTTAGTGCAGCTCTCCGGGTGCTAATGGAAGAACCGAAAGGGAAGCGGCAGAAAACCTGCCTGCCCATCTGCTCCTGCCACCAGCCGGTGCCTGGGACCCAGGTGAAGCAGAACTACCCTGCCTGTGTGGAGGAAGCAGTGTGCGGGCTCGTCACCCTCTTTTACGAGCTTTCCTACCGTTTCCAGGCTTTGGTAAGACGGCTTGAGTGCCGGGGGTAGGGTACTGAATTCGGGACTGTTAAAGGAAGGGCAAGATAACCAGATGGGTCAGAAACAAAGCAGCTCTAGGCAGCGACAGAGAATTCAGCAAACTCGGCTCCTCTCTCTGCAAAGCCGACTCAGCACAGTCGACTCGAACCTTTGCTTTCTCTCCAAGGATGCTGCCAGACCCGCTGACTTTCTCCAGCAATTTCAGTTTTCGTTCCACGTGTTTGGAGAGGTGTGTGCTTCCTCGCTGCAGATTGAAGTTTCAGTGCTCAGGATTAGACGATTATTTTAACCCGTGTAAATTACACGGTCACAACAAAAGTTGCTGGAAAAGCTCAGCAGGTCTGGCAGCATCTGTGGAGAAAAGATCAGAGTTAATGTTTCGGGTCCGGTGACCCTTCCTCAGAACACGTGCCGCGTTCTAAAGCGTAAACTCTTTATTTTTCTTCACAGATGCTGCCAGACCTGCTGAGCTTTTCCAGCAACTTCGGTTTTTGTTCCTGATTTACAGCATCCCGCAGTTCTTTCGGGTTTTGTTTTTAGTTACACGGTCACCCCATGATGTGTGTGGTGGGGTGGAGGCAATGGAACTTGCAGTGGACCTGCTTAGTTCCAGATCTTGACACAGGGATTTGAAGAATTTTAGAACTTTTAACAGTTTGTGCTCGTACTGGGCAGAGATATATATTTTTTTTAAAATATTTGCCAGAAATAGAGAGAAAAGTGAGTGACGTTTCTGAGCCGTGCGTAGAGAAAAATACTTTTATTGTGAATGTGAAAAATGTGAACCTTTTTATTTTAATTCATTGAGTTAAATAGATAAAAGAACAGTGTGCTGTGTGCAGTATTGAAGATTACCTTTCCCCAGAAATACATTAAAAAAAACTCTATATTCCGAAAGAGGTATTTCCTGCCGTCTTAATATTATTGATTTCTGTGGAGGTTAATAAAAGAAGTTTGACCCTACCTTGAAGTGGAAGTTCAGTGCTAAAGTCGGCGTTTACAAAATGCCCGGGAAGGTCCATCAAGCTTCCTGAGGACTTTAAATTACTGAAATATTTTTAGAGAGGATGGATCCTACCACCTGTCATCTCAAAATATTTACACATGTGAAGTACCCTCCCAGTGAAGAAAATCAGTAAGTGGTGACCAAGCATGATGTAAAAGACACTACTTGTCTCTGTACTACAAGTACAGTGACCAGTGTCAGGCTTTGATACAATCTAAAAATACTCTAGTCTCAATGAGATGAAATCATCAATATCTTTTATTGATTAAGTTTTATGATTGTTTATGTTTAGAATTAGATTGAAGTAAATACAGGAGGCCCTGGCTCTTACTGTATTCTTTTATCGACTTAAATAATTGGGGAGCTGCAGGTACTGTAAAATTATGACAGGCTTTTTTTTCAGTAGAAATGCACTGAATTGGAATTAAGTGGAGGCGGCTTGAAAATGGAGCAATTCAATGATGTGTCTACTGGAGCATTCCAGATTAGTAGTATGGGATTGGCCAGTGTTTAATTTTGAAAATATATATTACACTACTGCAATTGTTGAGCATATGGGAGGAGCTAAAACCTAAAGAGCCTGGCCCTGTAAGTGACAGACTCATTTACAGCACAGAAGGACACCATTCTGCCCATCAAGTTAATGTCGGCTCTCCACCAATCAATCCAATCATTCCCTTTCCCAGCTCTATCTGCATAGCCCTGCAAGAGTTTTCTTTCCAAAGCCCATCAGTTTCCTTTTCAGATCATTTATCATCCCTATTTCTCCCACCTTCATGGGCAGCAAGTTCCAGGATATTACCATCCTTTCTTAGTGATTTTCACTGGCAAGTACTTTGGTGTTAATTTTGAGTGAAACATCAATGTTAATTTAAAAGTTAACATTTTACTACACATATAATCCAAAGGCTGGTAGATGCATTTGGCAATAGTTAGTGCGCAGACCTAAGTGAAATTGCCTTATTCACCACACTGCTACTAAGTCATGAAAATGTTTGCTAATTTTTATCGTTATAGGTCAGGTGGGAGCGTCTTGAGTTTAAAAAGTGTCCAACAGATTGGAATTTGAATCGAACCCAACACTGAAGAAGGGTCACTGGATCCGAAATGTTAACTCTGATTTCTCTCCACAGATACTGCCACACCTGCTGAGTTTTTCCAGCAATCTCTGTTCTTGTTTCTGATTTCCAGCATCTGCAGTTCTTTCAGTTTTATAATATTTATTACAAGATTTCTTTCATAAATCATGGTAGCTAAAGGCAATATGCTTCAATATTCTGAGACCATTGAACTGCACCTTGGAAAACATTAGGACCTTCAAAATTGGAGGAAAACTTAGGAAAGATTAAAACCAAAAGAACTGCTGTAAATCAGGAATAAAAACAAAGTTGCCGGAAAAGCTCAGCAGGTCTGGAAGCATCTGTGAAGAAAACAATCAGAGTTAACGTTACGGGTCCAGTGACCCTTCCTCAAAACCGGTTCTGAGGAAGGGTCACTGGACCCGAAACATTAACTCCTTTTTTTCTTCACAGATGCTGCCAGACCTGCTGAGCTTTTCCAGCAACTTTGTTTTTGTTAGGAAAGATTAAGTCTGGGTTATTAGTATCATTACTAATTATCACTATTCAAATTCTCTGCAAAAACTTTTGCCGTCAATGTCATTACAGTGGATAAGCTCGCTACCATTAGATCAGTTATGACCTAATATGTAAAAATCATACTCCTCAGACTTCTACAGGAGCCCTGACAAGCTGTGTTAATGTGAGGACAGATTACCACTGCTACAACATCAGTGCAACAGCTTTTAATGTAAAAGAAAATGGCTTACAATTGGAAGTCGGGTTTAAACAGGAGTGAGAAAGAAATTGGACTGGTTTTTGAAGATGCAGTCAATTCTTGAATTTTAAGGAGAATTTGAAGGTGAGAAAAGAAATATCACAATGTGATATGCTGAAGGAAACAGCTAAATGAAGGTTTCTTACTGATACAGGTAGAAGAAGAGAACAACAGATTAGACCAGAATCAAAGAATGGAGGAAACAAATAGGAAAGTAAAACTTAAGGGAAAATGAAATGATATAGAGAGATGTGTAGGCCTTGGGGAGAAGTTTGAAATTAATGCATTTGCAAATGGGAGCTAATAGGGCTGAGAAAGGGTTTCAGAGATAGTAGGAACTGCAGATGCTGGAGAATCTGAGATAACAAGGTGTAGAGCTGGATGAACACAGCAGGCCAAGCAGCA